GCCAGGCAGCGGCGGGAAGGCCCAGGCTGGGCCGGGGTGCCCCGAACCGTGTGTTGAGCGTCATTTACCTTCAGGTCCCGCGTCTGCGCCCGGCCTGGCTGTGCCTCGCCTTGTGCCCAAGTTGCTTCAGATCCGCCGCGCCGCCAGCTGAAGACCTCCCGAGTGAGAGTTAATGGGGTTGGCACCAAAGGCACCTCAGTCGCAGCCTGAAGGAGATGATGTCCTGGGCTGGGCATGAGGGAGAGGCGAGACCACCCGGTGCCGTTTGAAGGAGGATGAAGTTGCATCTACTCTTCATGATGCTGGGGTGGGGAGGTGTCAGCACGGCCGACAGCTCCACATGCACGCACTGGGTTTTATTTTTACCTGCATCTTGTGCAAGAGATGGGTGACTGCCAAGGGAAACCCTGCCTCACACCTGTTTATCTCACCGGGTGGTTCACAAACTGTGGTTAAAAACTGTGCATCATAAATTTGATTGATGTTTGGTTAGTGCAGTACAGATGTCCTCAGCTTGGGCGCTTTAAAACCCTGACTGTATTTCCCTGAAATGAAGCCTTAGCCTTTTTTTTTTTTTTTTTTTAACCATTTTCAGTAGAGCATAAATATACTTTAGGAAAAAAAGCAGGCTAGCCATTTAACCTCAGAGCTCAGCTGGAGGTGTTCTTGCGTTAATCTATCCCTTTCAACTCCAAAATAGTAACAATTCATTGTGCTATTCCAGGACACCATAGACCTTCAATACCCGAGAGACTCACGGGTCATCTGTGACTATGCAACAAGCTCAGAGAGAAAGCTTGGCCAGTCAGTGGCTGAGTAGCTCTTCAGAGGGAAGACTAGCTTGATCTAGCTTTCCTTATCTAATCACATACCCACCACTTCAGTAGGAGGAGTTAATGTATGCATTTTCTTTACCTTAATATCAAAGGGTCCCGAGCTTGGTGACTACTGTTACAGACAGACATTTTATGGGAGACAGAGGTGAGCATAAACTTGTTGTGAAGATATTCTCTTTGTCTTAACTTTTGCACTTTCTTCAGTTCTACCACAAGAAAAATACTCAGAGCTCTAAGATGCGAAGGTACATGTTGATTCCTAAAGATCCTCTTCAAGGTTTTTTCAGCCATTTACTGAAGCAGTAAAGATTTAAAACTTTGTGGCTTTTCTGCTCCTACAGCCGACCCCAAATACTTGGTCCTCATGTTACAAAGGACCCTCCCTTTGCATGTGCCTCCAGACGGCCCAAGGCCATGTTGTCAGTGCTTTCAGCACCAGAGTTCAACACCCGGGTTTCCATGCAGGCATTTTGTGCTAGCTGCTACTGCCTCACGGTAGGGAGACCTACTTCCAGGCACATGCAGAGAGGCAGGACCTAATTGAGAGCAGACACTCCACTATGCAGAATCTGGCAGTTTGTTTTTATGTAACTGTCTGGTGCCTCTATTGGAAGCCTTAGTTTTTTATGCTGTCCTTCAGCAAGCAAGAAAATAAGAGGGTTTGGATTTATTATTATTTTTTTAAGTTTAAAGACAAACCTCAAGATTTTACAGAAGCCTGCAGAAGCGTTCATTCAACTTGGTTGAACTCTAAAATGTATGTCTGTCCAAAATGCCTACAGCAAGGACCCATTTGACTTTTTCCTTACAGGGAAGAGAAGCCAAATTGTGAGCCATCAGACCCTCTGGGAAGAGCATTGGAGGTGTAGAAAGGAAAAAAAAATAATAATTATTTCTGCCTGATTTCTCTCCACAGAAGTGCTAGAAAGTAGAACTAAAAGGCCTCCTACCAGATGGAGATAATCCGTGCTGCAGATGTTCCTTGCTTCCTACGTGAGCTTCCCCAATGGCTCGCTTTGGCTGCACGCTCCCAGCTGCTTTGGGCTCCTTATGGCTGGCAGGCTAACACTGAAGGTCAAGCTAATGCAAGGGTGTATATTTACTAAAAAAATCAGGTTAGGCATATGTTGAGTACATGTAACTACCCTCAGATGACCCTGTGCTAGCTAATAAGCGTCTCTTACAAGCACAACCTGAACTCCCCACCCCGATATTTAAAGAGAGAAATTAAAACTAACTTAGGTACACCAAGAACAACACCAAAGCAGCTTCAGACCCAGCTGTGAGCACAAATAACTCAACCTTAATCCCCCACACACAAAGGGATCACTTACCATCTCCATTTTCCTAATGAAACCAGTGCCCAAAGTCTACCGTCCCCAAGTGTCTTAACCAGTTTTTGTAATATAACCAGCTCACATGGGAGAAGGAAGATACACATCAAGGAGGGAGCAGAGTAATTGGCTTTTGTTTGGTTCAGTTAACATTCATAGGTCCCTTTAGGAAGGTGAAAAATCCCTCTAAAAGAAAAGGTTATGTGGAACCTGGTGAGGAAATAGGCAGTCATGCAGTGGATCTAGAAAGGGAGAGCTGGTAACTGGGCTTCTGTAACATTTTCATGCTCTGTGCTCTCAGTGGCAGAGTGTGCTGGTGGGGTATCTTTATTATCTATGAAGGCCAGAGGCAATGAAGGGCTTTACGTCATTTACCCAGCTTGTGCCACTGCTTTATTAGTATGAAGTTTTTCTGGTGCTTTTCTTTATAAGACATCGCATTTGTAGTAAACTGCTGTCTGAATTAGGTATCCTGTGACTGACCTTTTGCTGTGGTACATGACATGCAATCCAACAGACAGGTCACGGACGTGGTGTACTGGACACTTCATACCTACCCTGTGCAGGCTGTGCTGGTGGTACATATGCCTGCCAGCTCTGACCTAGCACTGTGCTTGCCTCAGCAAGCTTTGTGCAGGTCCCTGCAAAGAGGCAAGCAGCCTTGCAATAGGGGCTACCCAGTAAAATTGCCTCCCCTTTGGAGACAGAGTTGTAACTGAGGGACATTTGCTTGGCTCTCAACATGTCTTAAGACAATTGGGATGTAGTGCCACTTTACTACTTAATCCAATGTCCTTGGAGACTAACATTCATTTTCACTCACCTCCGAAATATGGACACATTCTCTAAAGCAGGGACCACTTCTCATCCCTCACTACTAGGTTATGAACAAGGTATTATTTGGACTCTGTCTTGAATTTGTTTCTTTCAGGTGTTTAGTTTCTGCAGAAGTGGTGGAGACCATCTTCATTAATAGGCCAATGTATGAAGTGCTCCCAGAAAGCTTTTTATATCACAACCCTCAGGGAAATTTGCAGTTTCTGAATCCTGGGTTAATTTATATCAGAGATACATACCTAACTGATAAGCCCTGCAGTGTTATTCCTGGGATACAAATTTGAATATTTGGGGAACTCCAGAGCCACACAGGGAAGGGCATTTGGGGAATTCATTTCATAGGTGGCAGCTAAACAGAGACAACTTAGTTTTTAGTATACAGTTTTCAGTGTGCTTCACTTTGACCTAACTCCTCCTTAGGTAAGTAATTTAATTTCATGGTTGGGTTTTTTGTTTGTTTGTTTGGTGGTGGTTTTTGTTTGTTTGTTTACATCTATAACCACCACTTGCATTAATTTAGTCTCTATTTTTGTGGTGAGATCGATTACAGGATGGCTTGTATTTGCCCCTGGGGTCCCCTCCCCTTGCAGAGAACTTCCCTGCTGCCCTTTTACAGGATCTCTATCAAGTAACAGGAATCTGCTCTGTTGGGTCTCTTTGCTGGCTGCTTCTTTTGGGTTCAGGAAGATAACATTCTCTCCAGTCACATTGTTGTGTTATGCATAGTGATTAATGGATACAACTATTTGGATAACAGAGATATTTAGTAAACTGGTATTTGGAAACAGCTTCACAGATCTCCATAGTAGATCTGCAGATAACTCCTGCACACTGATTTCAGAGAGACTTGGACTGCCATTATGTCTATGCTGGTGTTCATTGTATGCTCTTGTATCAGCTACTAAAAGTGCCATAATGACTAGTTTTGGGTTTTTATCTTGTTTATCCAGCTGTGAAAGAAAGCTACACCTATTTAGACAAAATTAAGCAAAAGTCTGTCAGAAGCTGCCAGGCAGAAGTCCTTATTCTCATCCCTCCCCTTGCCTTATGCAGAAACTTATCCTCCCCCACTACCTTGCTGTTGCTCCATTCCTCCTCCCCATTACCTATAGTACAGCTCTGTTCAGTATAGAAACTCAAGTAATATTTACATGATATTTTGTGTTGTGCTATAAAGCCATACATAAAGGCAAGTACCCACTCCAACTGTCTTCAAGTTGGGGACCTCTCAGGATGGATCCAGTTAGCACTGTGATACCTGTGCCCAGAGGACATTATAATTAAATAGGTGTGTAGAAATCTGGTGATACTAATTTATTTTCCTAAGAAAGCAACCTGGATAAACCTTTCTCAACTAATCGCTGCTTGTTGTGTTAATCCACCATCATTGATGACTCAGCCTTGATTGTAAAGAGTCTGTGTCTGAGGTGGTGAAGTCACTGTGTTTGATTTGAGCTGGCATTGTGCCATCAGCATGTCTTATTTTGGTTCATTCTTTCAATAAGAATACATTATATAATTCTTTCAATAACTGTGTTTCTTCAGTCTGCTACTAAAAGGTTTAAGTTAATTTAGAAAGCAGAGTAACAAGCATTAAAAACCAAATGAGAAAGGATGAACGTTTCACATCTGGCTTTCTGTGCAATCTTTTGAAAAGGAAAAAAAACATCCTGTAATTTTTCTGTGGGACTTCAATCTAGTCACCAGCTCTCCCACCAAATTGTGACTTTGTCCTATGAACTCTTTACACTCACAGCCACCTGTTTTTCTTCCAGCACCTGACATCCAACTTTCAATTGGAGTATCAGCGCTTCTAGCCCTGACCACACTCATACAGCAAAGAGGGAAAG